CCAGTAATTGTAGCTCATATATTAAATAAAACGTTATTGAAGAAATAAACTAATTAGTTATTGATAAATGAACCGAATTTTGCCTTATTTTTACTGAATAACCTTACCCAACGATAGATCAAGATGTGTGTTTGTTTAAAGTTAAGCACAAAGCTACACAATGGGCTATTTGTGCTCTGCCCACCACGGGTATCAAAACCCTGTTTCTAGCGTTGTAAGTACACAGATATACCGCTGTGCTACTGGGGGGGGGTGAAAATAAAACTTTGTAAAAGATGATCACATGAAATGAGATCGAATATTCACTGGAGATGATGAAACAGTGGAAAGAAGAACGAGCAGAAAGATAAAGAGTATTAAAAGAAAATCAAGAAATAGAAAGAAAGTTAAAAGGAGACCAAGAAGAAAAAGATAGAATTTAATAGAATGATTTAGAACAAATATAAATATTATTAAAATAAGATTGACAAAGAAATTAGATATACACAGATATATTACTGAAACAATACTGGCAAAGTTTGGAAAGAAATCAACAAAGTACAGAAAAGCTGTAAAGACAAAACTGAATAAGTATAAAAAGACATCTGTGAAGTATAGAAAAATTATAACAGTAAAGTGAACGAGGTATAAAACAACATCACTCACAGAATATACATTTAACAAATGACTTGGTAAGTGAAAATATCAAACTAGCCAGATCCATTTTTGCATATACCGAAGACTTAAAGTTTTAAACACCAATTACCAAATCTGCTGTGCCATATGTGACTACAGGACCTACCTAGAGTATTCCAGTTGTGTCACAATGAAATCCATTTCCAGGATTTAGCTGGCCAGTTTAACAACATCATTAAATTGAGAAATCACTGGAATATGATAGAAAGGTAACATGGGAAAATATCAGGATTAGTTCGAAATAATTTCCAAAGTGAATGTATAGAATATGGAACAAAAAACTATTCATCTTGCTGTCTGTTTAAAAGGACCTGCTTTAACAACATTAACATTAATGTTGCTAAATCATATTGAAGCTGAGAGCTATAACAACTATCAAGCGTTGGCAGCTGCCTTATTTTGGTTTAGAGTGACACACCAGAATGAAATTTTAAAGCAAAGTTCAGGAGCAGAGTAAGGAACTTGTGGCACATTTGAAAAGGCTTTTCCAATTTTCTTACCCACATGTTCTACATGAAATGATAAATTTGTTGGCACATGACCAATTCATATAGATGTCACAACAGACAAGGGCATGCAAATTAGGTTGAATTAAAGTAAGAGTAAATCTTTAAAGGAAGCTGTACAGTTGGCGATGTTTGGGTCCATTAAATATGCAGATAAAAAACTAAAAGCACTATATTGTTACAACAGCGGAAGTCACGCGACGCTGGGAGCATGCGCGCTGGAGTTTCTCGAAGGATCATGAATTTTCCTGGCAACTCTAGTTTGTTCGAGGCGCCATCTTTTTTTAGTATATAAGGCTGGCGAGAAAAAACAGCGCGATTGAAGAGATATAGATAGATCGAAGAGATAGATAATTGAGTCAAGCGAACAGTAGGCACCATAAGTAAAGTGTGTGAATCACTGTGATTTATAGCGTGTGTTACAAAGGTTGTTAAGTTTAAAGTGACTGTGGAAATTCTGTGTACTAAAAATTTGAATCAAGAAAGAATAAACTAGTTTTAATTAAGAATAGACGTATATCTCTGAAGTTCCTCGGAAAGAATTTATACTGGAAATTAACAAACAAGCAGATGCGTAACAAATTGGTGTCAGAAGTGGGATGGAAAAAAAAGAAGATGGAAACGAGAAGTGGCAAATAAAGTACAGCTTAGCAGATTTGATGGCAGCAATACAAGAACAGCAAAAGAAACAAGAAGGACGAAAAAGAAAGAAGAAGAACGAGAAAAGAAACAAGAAGG